CGGAATTATACAGGTTAAGAGGAAACAAATTTGGAAATATTATTAAGTATCACCTGATAATTTTCACAGAGTAAGGAGGCATCATGGCGTTTATTAACACAAGATTTAGAAATGCTTATCAGACAAGATTCAGCAAATCTCCTCTGAATAATGTTCCGTTCGTGATAAAGTATACTAGCGTTATAAAAGTCAAAAGAATGTTTAAAATTTTTTATATGTTCTGTTATCATAGTTTGATTTTGTCGTGGGTTTTTAGAGTTATTATCATGTTGTTTTAGTCGTTTTATTAAATTTTGTCCAGTTTCACCTATGTAAATGGAATCACAATCATTGCATTTTAATTTATAGACAATATTTGATGTGCGTTCTAAACTAGTGGGTGATTTGAGGTGAGAAAAAAGAGAGCTAAGGGTTAAGTCTATGTTACAAATTAATCTTAAGTCGACCTTGTGGAACAGTTTTTTCCAAATGGGAAAGAGTTCTTTAATAAACGGGAGACAAACATTACCAATAAAGTTATTGTCTTTGGAGATTTTGGTAGAAGAAGAAGAGGTATTATTGTTATTATTGAGAAATCCACACAACACTTATTAATAACTCTTATCCTTCTAATCTCATAAACTCTGTCACGTACAATAGACTCAAATTTCTCAATAATAACAATAATACCTCTTCTTCTTCTACCAAAATCAACATAAAAACTAACTTCTCTAACATATATATATATATATATATATATATATATATATATACTAGATGCCCGACAGACCTTGTCGTGTACTCATATCTACAATACAATTCTTTAATATTCTTTACTAATATTTACCGTTTCGTTAAAAATAATAATTATTCTTTATTGAATTACTATTTACCCCAAAATATGAGTGATGTTAAATGCAGAACAGCTTCAAATAAAATGATGATTCTCAATTCCCACAGTTAACACTTTAATTATCCCTTTAACAAATATTAAAATATTTGTTATATAATTTGTAATATACAATAAAATTGTATATTAAAAATTTTACACCACAATTTATAGAACATATTTATTTTCAATAACTCAATTTATTTTAATGCCAAGGGTTATACAATATTTTTAGACATACGAGTAGATGTGGATGTATAAACGAATGATTTTTTTTTATTCACGACTAAAGCATTGATTTTCCAAATTTATCACACAAAAAATCATCGTCTGCTTTTGTGATGTATTTATGGTGATAGCATAAGTTATAGCCCAGTCATTTTAGCTTAAATTAGGCTAGAATCTCGGAATGCGAGATACCCAGCTGTAAGTCTGTAAATACTTGTATATTGGCACCCTAAAAGTTGTTTCAAAACCTACATATGGTAGGGTAACTATTAAATTTCAAGGTCACAAAAATCGGGATTTTTCGCTTTTTTTTTGTAAATATCTCATTTCCTATGGGTTTTTTGCTATTTGTGTTTATTATCAATATTGTAGAATAAAAAATTCTTTACAAATTTTGTTTGAAAGAATTTTTCATACGGTGAACCGTTTTCGAGATAGAGGGCGAAGAGCGCGCGGTCACAGGCGTCACTTCAGGACATCATGTCAACCGGTCAAAAACGCGCCATATATAGTTGATGAACTATCGATAGATCTATGATTTATGAATATCTGTTAATTTTTATTAACTATTTATTTTATTTTATCATTTTTCTCTAACCTATCCACTTTTTATTCAGTATTAATTTATTTAACAACACTTACCTGCCCATGTAATTGCAGAATTGCTAATGAATATATAGAAATTATATTCGAATTCAAACCCTATTAATAACTTCTTACACGATAAAAAACAACCAATAAATATATGAATTTATCTTTTTATTAAAAAATAACATTCAATACATTTATTATTTTTTAAGTAAAAAAATGGAATAAAGGGTGCAAAAACTACCTGCCTGGGTAATTTTTTGAATTTTTAATCATAAATTACAAAAATATTTTATGGAAAATAAACAAAGATGTAATATTTTTTTATCCTCAAAAGCAATTGTTTTGTCAACACACGAAGAAAGTTTTTTAGATCATTCAAATCGGACGCTTAGTTCACTCGAAAACTGCCATTTTTTGCACATTTAGCTCTGTATCGAAATGGCGGGACCTGTCTTTGCCAAAAACGAATCGCTTCTTCTCCCAATCATTACAAATTGAATGTTTTTTAGATCATTCAAATCCGATACTCCGTTCTCTCAAAAACTCGATTTGTATTTTCTGCACTCTTTGCTCCGTATCTCCGTAACGGCTGGACCTGCTTTTGCCAAAAACTAATTAGCACATCAATAGGGATCGAATGTTTTTTAAACCATCCAAATCGGTTGATCCGTGCGCCCGAAAACGCGGATAAAAAAATGCGGACATACAAAATACACACACACACACACATCCATTTTTTCTGAGGTATGCCAAAATGTTCAGAAGTCAGAAGTCTCGACGTCAAAACGTCGAGAAATGCAAAATATTTTATTTTTGATTTTCAGCCCATTACTATAACTACCCTACGGAAAGTTAATACATTATAATAGTTAATAAATAAGATCTATCGATAGTTTATCAACTATATATGGCGCGTTTTTGACCGGTTGACCTGAAGTCCTGAAGTGACGCCGTGACCGCGCGCTCTCCGCCCTCTATCTCGAAAACGGTTCACCGTATGAAAAATTCTTTCAAACAAAATTTGTAGAGAATTTTGTATTCAATATTGATAATAAACACAAATAGCAAAAAACCCATAGGCAATGAGATATTTACAAAAAAAGCGAAAAAACCCGATTTTTGTGACCTTTACCTTGAAATTTAATAGTTGCGCATATGTAGGTTTTAAGACAACTTTTAGAGTATCAATATACAAGTATTTACAGTCTTACAGCTGGGTATCTTAAATTGTGATATTTGCTAGAATTCATCAAGATTCCTAGATGGAATAAACCAAGTTAATTCTAGATGGAATACGATTATTTTTAATTTTGGTGGAAATGGCACTCATGAAACTATTTGATTTAAATGAAAAAAAAAATATTGTATGCTTCTTATACTTACATGTAAGCTCACTCATTTTATACGCACAAGACCCTTTACAGTATTCATTTTAAAGCTTATTTTGAGCACTTATGATTGATTAAGATTATAATTAATATAATTTTGTTCATCACATAATTTTCTTTAAAATTTATATTTTTAAAAATATTTGAAAAAGAAAACGATGAATTAGGCCAAAAAGTAACAAATTTTTAATACTCAGAAACTTGAAAATTATTTGCTTTTTTGAAAAACATAATGAAACATTTTTTTCTTATTAGTTCTTCTATAGATATCGGACGTTATTTTGAAAAAAAAAAATAATAATAGAATTAGATCACTAGGAGGGTTATTTCCCGGGGGTTGGCGGAGGAATCTAAATTATTTTCACTTTTGAACTTGAGAGTAAGATGAACCTAATTCCAAAATTTCATGCAAATTGGAGCACAGTAAAAAAATCAGACTCAAGACGCTCTATTGACTCGAGTAAATATTCCGTATCCAATGCCAAACAAATAAATTTTTTACACAACGAAACTTTTAAATAATTTTTTTAATAAGTAATTTTTTTTGTATTGTAAAATAATTTAGTAAAGTAAGGCAAAACATGACATACATTAGTTAAACATCACATTTTTCTTATTCATAATCATAAATTTATTATATTGTAATATTGTCTAGGCTCATAAGTGAATTTAAATTTTTGGCAGATGATAGTTCTAATTTGTTTTCGATACCCAACAATGCCTCAAATATTTTCAATATCAAACAATGACATGTTGTTTTTTTGCATTTTTTTCATTTATTTTTACAATATTTTTATAAACATATATATCCTAAAAAATTTCCTTAACAAACTTCAGATTTATCAAAATCCAAATAATCGTTTAGGAGGAGTGTCTTTACATACATCATTATAGAAGAATTAAATATATATATATATATATATATATATATATATATAATATATATATATATATATATATATATATATATTTAATTCTTCTGTAATGATGTATGTAAAGACACTCCTATATATATCCCATATATTATATACATATATATACATCCCATATATTATATATATATATATATAGCTCTCGATAAAATGATTCGAAAACTTGTAAACGGCTACACCGATTTGAACAGTCTTATGGGCCGATTCTCGGTTTCAATTTTACGACAAGTTCACACTTATGTCGTTTAAAATGTCATTATAAGTGTAACATAACAGTTATTCTCGGCGGTATGTGTTTTATCATATGATAACATTAATGTTACGCTGACCCTCTGAAAATAAACGTAGTCAGAAACTCGCACTTATCGCTATAACATTGACGAGAAGTTGTACTATGAACAGATTTGACATTTGCTAGTTTGACATTTTACTAGTGATTTATGCGTTTAACATGCTTTTTTGAGGTTATTGTTAATTTAAGCAAAGTGATATTATTAGGTTTGGTTTAGCTTTTATTGTGAATTTCAAATTGTTAATATGGCGTTTTTTGGAATAATTTGGGCAGCAGATAGTAGGAGAAGAAGGTATGTTTGAATTTTAATATAATTCATACTGTTATTGTAATGAATGTATTACTCAAAAGTATTAAAATTATTAAATGCCACAACATTTTAGATACAGGCAAAGATACGCCCTTAGGTATCTCAGAGATGCAGATAATGTATGGGAAGTGAGTGATGAAATTTTTATAAAAAATTTTCGATTAACGAAAAATGTTATGAAAGATTTAATAGAACTGTTGGAACCACATGCGGAGACTCATACAGCATCATGGAGTATCCCTTTTTATTTGCAGGTATTGGAAATTAAAATGAATTAATTTTTTTGAAATACTAATAACTGAAATTTCATTATAGGTAGGTACTTGCAGCGATTCATTTTTGTGGTCATGGCTCATATCAGACTGATGTAGGCAATTGCCATTTAAATTCTATGAGCCAGCCTTCAGTCAGTCGCTGCATTAAAACAGTGACTGATTTAATTATAAAGCATGCTACACCAAAGTACGTGAATTTTCCTAAAACCTCATCAGAAAGAGATGAAAATAAAAAGAGGTATATGTTACACTACTTTGTGTACATTGAACATAGTCTGTAATATGTTGCTATTTAACAGATTTTATACGAAGTTTGGCATGCCTGGCATTATTGGGTGCATAGACTGCACACACATAAGTATAGTGGCTCCCAAAAAAGATCACCCCGTGGCACCAGCTGCTATTTATATGAATAGGAAGGTCTATTACTCAATTAATATTGAAGTAGTAAGTATTATTTTATTTTGCTTAAGAATTTTGAAGACTAACATGATAATAAATAATATTAGATATGTGATGCCGATGAACGGATATTGTTTGCGAGCAGCAGATATCCTGGCTCCACTCATGATGCAGCCATTTGGAAGGTTTCGACAGTCAGAGCCCTGCTAACTCATAATGCTGATGATGGGACATATTTATTGGGCAATTCAAGAATATATTTAATATCGCAAATCAAATAAGGAAAAAAATATATATTAGTTGTACATTTGCAGGAGATTCAGGTTACCCATTGGAACATTGCCTACTCACACCATATAGGACACCAGTAGGCTCTACCCAGGAGAAATACAATTAGTTCCACAAAAAGACTCGCAATGTAATAGAGAGAACGTTTGGTGTTGTTAAAAGTCGTTTTCGATGTTTGCATCGTCACAGGACACTGCATTATACACCTGATGTGGCAGGAAAAATTGTGTATGCAGTATTTACTCTGCATAATATATGCAGAGAAAATAATATGGAAACGGTTAGATACCAAATAATTGTATTTCAAATGTGCAGTTAAAATTAATTGATTTAAATATTTCAGAAGTATACAATGAGGCAGATAATATGGCATATAATATCAGAAATTCTTATGCCAGAAGATATTTTTAATACCATAATATTCACCTAAAAAAAAAAGATTATATTTTTATAGCTACATAAATGTAATTATTTTAAATAAATAAATAAATATATATATATATATATATATATAAAGGAATAAAAAACAAAATTTATTGGCTGTTAAATTTATTTTTTAATGTATTATTGAGAATTTTCAATTGATCGGCTATGCATTGCAGCGCCTCTGTCTGTTTCTCCATCATGTTAGTAAGAGACTCTGTTTGTCTTTTCAATACGTATTCCATTGAGTTTACGAGGTGATTTAATTCATCTTAAAATAATAAAATGCGGAATGTATCACATAGTAATATTAGTAATATTTAAAATAGAAGAAAAATTATACTTACTATTGCCAGGAGTTCTTCGTCTCTGCATTGGTGGTCTAGGGGCATCATCTAAAAATTCTGGAGGTGGCATTATATCTTCTACCTCAGGATCAACATTAACAGAATCAAGTTCAGCCTCGTTGCTGACAGATTTTTCGATAGGATACTATTAAAGAATTTAATATGTGTATATGTATATATACATATATATAATGAAATTACATTTAGTCCAATATCCATTTCCAGATCTGGATGGCCATCAATTGACCCTAGACCCCAAACACCTAAGGCCTTTTGTTCGACCTCTGTCAAGCAATTGGTTAATGCAGGCCCACCTCCTGTTGCTAAAGTATGAGCTTTTTGTTTCCTTGCTTTGGCCTTTGTCTGGTTTTTCCAACCCGCAAATATCTATATCGATTTAATAACATATGAATTATCATTTTCAAAAATATAACATACTAGCAACAAAGACTTTTACCTTCATCCAGAATTCAAGGCCTATGAGGCCCATGACCACATGAGTTTAACAAATTGGTCAATTCCTCCCACTTTGCACTGAAATAATCCTTGTCGAACAAGGGGCTTAATTTATTAGCAACGAATTGTGGGTTGCTGATTGAAAAATCAACATATATTTCGTACTGCGCCGGATTAGTTTTTTTGGCTCTTTTCATTTGCGTATCACTGGCCATTTTGTATGTAAAATATATTTATCTAAAAAAATCGTGAACGCTTTTTGACTGGAAGTCCAGTACAAGTATATCCAAAATTGAAAAAACCGTTCGCGTCAGCACCGTAGAGATAGATTATTGCCGATTTCGAGAGTACAAACACAGAGAGCCAACATCAAAAAACCAAAAACTTTGTTCGCTCATGTTACGCCATAACACGATTCATTCTCATAAAATTGGTGCGCCGAGAATAACTAATCTTCAACATACACTTACGCGAGGCATGTTATGCTACCATGAAAGTGCGATAACAGAGCGTAGCCATGTTAAGGCAGAATCGGTCCATGAATCTCATGGATACAAAGTTGTGTATATAGCCAACATCAAGTACAGATTTACTTGTGCTCCACTGCATATGTTTATGGTAGAATTGGAACAAAACATTAACAACAAAGACATCTTCAACATAGAATTTTTGAATAAAATTAAAGTTAAAATTGAGCCCAAAAATCCAACAAGAGAAATTGTACAGTGTACAAAATGTCAACGTTATGGTCACACTAAATCGTATTGTTTCAGAGACGCAAGATGTGTGAAATGTGCTGGCGATCATCCCAGTAAAAAATGCGAATGGACAGATCGCATCAACAAAAACGTCAAATGCGTACTTTGTAATGAAAACCACCCGGCCAACTACAAAGGTTGTAAGGAATACAAACAATTATTTGCTCAAAGATTTCCCCCAATTCGCACCAGATATTATCCAACAGAAAATACTTTAAACAGACCGTCATATGTTCAATCTAATAAATCGTACGCGCAAGCCACAAACCCAATAGACCAAACTATCCCAGATCCAAATGTCTGCAACCAGCAACAAGCTAATTCCGACATTGCTGAGCTAAAAACTATGATGAAGGATTTAGTAGGCCAAATTAGTATCATGCTAAATTTACTAACCACCGTCGTTTCAAAATTAAAATGAATAGTAACTCATTAATAATTGGAATCTGGAATGCCAATGGTCTTGCTCAACATAGGCAAGAATTAGAAATATTTGTAATAGAATACAAAATAGATATTATGTTGATCTCAGAAACGCACTTTACAAACTTAAACTATTTCAAATTAAACAATTATAATTTTTACAATACTAATCATCCAGATGGAACAGCTCACGGTGGAACTGCTATAATAATAAGAAAAAACATCAAACATTACCAAAACAAATCTGTCAATGAGCATTTTATACAAGCCACATCACTAACAAATCAACAACAAACTGAAAAATGAACAATATCTGCAATTTACTGTCCACCAAAACACAAGATCACCTGTGAACAATTTGAAAATTTTTTCGGAACACTTCAGAGAAAATTCATCGCGGGAGAAGACTTTAATGCGAAGCATACCTTTTGGGGATCTCGATTGGTAAATCCAAGGGGCAACGAACTTTATAAAACCGTCCAGAAACACGGGCTAACGACCCTATCTACTGGCGAGCCCACATACTGGCCGAGTGATCTGCGCAAATTATCTGATCTATTGGATTTCTGCGTCTTGAAAGGTATAGCAAATGAACACATTCAGGCTAAATCTTGTCTTGATCTAAGTTCTGACCACACACCGATAATAGTCACATACAGTACAAAAATTTTAGAAGACAAGAAAAATGATTTTTTAACTAACAAGTATACAAACTGGGAATTATTCCGAAACATTATAGAGCAAAATCGACCTGAAAAATGCTGTTGATAAATTTAGTGCAATTGTAATAGACGCAGCTAGAAAAAGTACCCCCCCACAAATTAAAAAGAAAATCCACACTTGCTCCATAGACACCAAAGCTCTTATTGCAGAGAAAAGGAGGCTATGAAAAAGATGGCAGCTAACAAGATCAAGACAAAACGCAATTGAACAGAATGTCTAAATTGATTAAACAACAGATAAAAACGTTCAAAAACGACCAATTTCAAGACTTTTTATCCCATTTAACAATATCAGATCATTCGATTTGGAAAGCCACAAAAAACTTAAAACGTCCTGCCATTACTATACCTCCAATTAGAAAACCGGATAACACTTGGGCACGCAGTGATTTAGAAAAAGCAGAATATTTCTCGACTTACTTCAAGGAAGTTTTTACGCCAAATTCTTCAAAATCCTCGGAACAAGAAGAAAAATTTATTTTTGATTCTTTGAAAGAAGTTCAGTCAAATTTTTCATCAAACATCATTATCAAAGTTCCAGAAATTACAAATGAAATCCGAAGGGCAAAATCTGCAAAAGCACCTGGCGTAGACAACATTAATATTAATATACTTAAAGAGCTTCCATACAAAGCCTACCGTTTCATAACAAGCCTGTTTAACGGTATAATAAGACTTAAATCATATCCCGATCAATGGAAAATTGCTAAAATCATAATTATTCCAAAGCCTGGTAAAAATCCGAATGAAGTCCAAAGTTATAGACCAATTAGTTAACTTCCAATGTTATCCAAAATATTTGAAAAGGTCTTAATTAGTAAAATAAAACCATTTATTTATGATAGCAACGTTATCCCTGAGCATCAATTTGGATTTTTAGAAAAACATGGCACACCAGAGCAAATTCATAGAATTGTCGACAATATAAACAAGGCTTACCAAAACAAGAACTACAGTTCAGCTGTTTTCCTCGATATTAGTCAGGCATTTGATAAGGTGTGGCACCCCGGCCTACTTTACAAAATAAAAAATGCATTGCCGAATGATATATACCTAATAATAAAGTCCTACCTGGAAGGTAGAACATTCTTTGTTAGTGTATTATACCACTTTGTTAGCCACTATTATACCTCATATACACGACAGAAGACATTTTGACAGCAACATATGCAGACGACACAAGCATAATGGCAACACATGAAGATCCCATAATCACATCAAAAATGCTCCAGGATCATCTTGACGTGATACAAAAATGGTTAAGCTTGTGAAGAATAGAAGTTAACAGCAGCAAGTCAAAACACATCACTTTCACTCTTTGCAAAGGGACATGTCCTGCAGTAATGACGAAATTATAGATCAAACAGATACAGTCAAATATCTAGGTTTACACCTGGAAAAGAGACTAACCTGGAAAGAACACATTAAGAAGAAGAGAAAGCAGCTTGAAGAAACCAGAAGAAGATATCATTGGCTCCTTGGACGAAAATCAAAACTTGACACTCATAATAAAATTTACCTCTATAAAGCCATCATCAAACCAATTTGGACATACGGCATACAGCTATGGGGATCAACTTCCAACTCAAACGCTTTAATAATTCCAAGATTTCAAAACAAGTTATTGAAAGAAATTTTGAAAGCACCAAAGTATGTTCCAAATTGGTTAATACACAAAGACACAGGCACTAGCACAGTTAAGGATGAAATAATTGCTTACTCACACAAATATAGAAATCGCCTAGCTGATCATCCGAACTTGCTCGCGAGAAAACTTCAAATCAACTCTACCAGGGCCCGATTAAAAAGAAAATTTCTTCTGCACTAATCAACAATAGATAAGACCTTCGACAAATCACTGGCAATGGTCAGATGATTTGTATTTTGCCAACGCCTTCAGTTTCATGTCAAATATTTTACTTGTTGTCCGTTTCAGGACAGTTGTAAAAATTATTAAAATAATAAAAAAAATATTAATTATATAATAATTAGAAATAATTATAATATTATAATTAAATAATTATATAATATAAGAAATGAATTATTTAAAGGTGCATTACCTCTATGGCTGTAGCATATAGTTTAGCATGGACTGATATTTGTCGAATAATTCGAGATTTTATTAAAAAACTTCCAAAGATTCGTCGATGTTCCTCGACTTCTCTCACATGTCCAACATCAACTAGTTTTTTAAATTTGGTCATTGTTTCCGGCTGGAACTTTATTTGATGGGTAATGGACTCAAATTCTCAAATAATGTCCATGTCTTAAGTTTGACCAAAAATAATAAAAAAACTATTAAACAAAAATATTATTTACTTAATCTATTGAAAAAATATTTTTATCATTTTTCATCATAATTTTTACGTAACTTAACCTTATAAATGTTTACTATATTTCTTTATTTATTTTATCATACCTACTGTGTTTTAAGTACGTTCAAGTAAATTTAAAAATTACATTACCTACTCAACTTTCTCTTTCTTGTTGTAATTTATTAATAATATATTAACTTTTTTCTTTAAAAACATCTAAAAACACATGTAAAGCACGCACTGACAGCCCCAACTAATTCACACGTGGCACACATTTAGCCTGGCGCTGCAGTCACGCTCGGACCAATACATAAGTCTATGCATGGCCGGTAATCTCGGAACAAACATCTGTAATTTCGTTTTTAGTTCCGTCTCCCCCGATTGGAGCGTTGGTAGCGCTACAAAACGGGCTAAAGAAAATATTTGAGAATCTAATATGGCGGAATAATATTTTAGACACGACGTTAAAACATGCTAATTTTGACGTTTAGCGGTCATACAAAGGTCATTGACCTTTGATCGTACTTTTAACGGACGCTATGAAGTTGGCGTCGGAACGAGTGTTTAGCTGTCATAAATTGATTGTACATTTCACGGACGACATGAAGTTGTCGCCGACAAGAATAGTTCGGCGAAAAGAGTAGTTTAAATCTGGCAACCGAATATGAAGATCCTATACGACATATAATATATGATGGAGATATCATATTCAAATATTGTCTAGGATCGAATCTTGCAAAGATGTTGGCCTTTAACGTCGAGATTTAGGAATTTGCAATAACAAATTATTTATATTTAATCTCTATGACAAATATTTGAGAAAAAACGAAATATAGTTATTCCAGAACATATTAAAACCAACATTACGGGGTGCTTTGATTTGGTATTCAAGTATTATAAGATCAAGTTTCAAATTTGTCATGAGTAGGGTCTCATTTGACTGCAGTTAGTTTTTACTAAATAAAGGCTAGGACGTTAATAATAATAACAAATTAAATTCAAACTAGAATTGAATGTGATAATATAGCCTACTGGCGTTAGGACAAATAAAACAATCAAATTTGCACCCACCTTTTGCAAATTATATACATTTTTAGTAATTGCACTACTCAATGGAATAAAGCAACATGTTTCAAATTTGTGTAAATAATAAACATGAGATTATTTTTGCTAACAATATAGCTAGTGTAAATGATAGCAAATTCAATATCATTTAGCCCAATGAATAATTTTACTAAAAATTATATTTAAACAATTTTATTTTAGATCTAATACTAATAATTTCAAAGAATAAAAAAAGAATAGTACTTATTTTATTTAACATTTTTATTAAAAAACAATAATATATAAACATTTTATATTATTTGCAATATGAACCATGGAATAATAACATCCAATCGATATGAAGCATGAGAAAATCATCGCAAGCCAAAGCCAAACAGAAAGAAGTAGATACTGATTGCTTAATATTTAGATTTTTTATTATTAACTCTTTTATTTACAACTGTCCAGTAAAGGACATTCAGTAAATTTGATGAATTTAGGTGGAAACTTAAAAACTATACTACTTTCACCATCCAAAAACCATATTGTTAAATTAATAAGATTTCTATATCTTTCGCAGTTTGAAAAACCATGACAACTGATAAAATGTATTCATGTGCATATAGCTACATTATATTTGCAAAAGCTGCAGGTCATTCTACCTTAGAAAGTCATATGTATTAATTTGTCAAATTGATATAAATCAAATATAATGATGCCAATACAATTGGGTTTATTCTCTATTTAAATCCATTTGTATGATTAGTCGATGCAACATATTATAATATCCTATCAAGCAAAGATCATAATATACTGGTTCTTGATTGTGTACCTAAAAGAACAATTTATAAGTTATACAATACAGAACACAAATAATCAGTATATGTAAAGCACTACATACCTATAAAATGTTCTCTCGAGCTGAGTGGAGAATTGGGAATGGAAGATGGATTAATGTTAAAATGAGTAGACGGTGTAGCAGTTGAAGGAAAGGATTTGCGAAGAACTATGTGGATGAGCATAGGTGAACGGAGCAATGAAATTGATATTGGAGAGTAATGTCGAAGATGTGGACATATGTGAATTGAAAAAAGGTAAATTGAAGTGTGTAAAAGATCTTGCAGGTGAATGGGTTGCTGAAGAACAAGATTTGGCAGAAACAAAGGGTAATGAAGATACATTATTAGTAGCAGCAGGGATACCGTTGTGAATTTATTTAACATGCCTTATTAACGACGATTTCTATTTAAATGTGTTGTTGTGTAATGACCAGATATTAGGCAGTTCAGGTTTTAAACCATGTTTCTGTCTCATGTGCCAAAACAAAGACCCGCGAGTGGCGCAAGGTATCTGGCACTCTCGACAAAATGAATCTCATTCAATATTCATGGCGCAAACTTGATAATAATTGAAAGAATATAATAGAATATACGTAATAACAAATAATGCTAAACTATAAATTATAATAAAAAGTCTAACCTAACCTAAAATCGAAGCCTAACCTAATTTAAACTTTGTGAATAAGGAAGAAAATAGGCGTTAAAAAAACGTGAAGAAGTACGAATAATAATAAAAAGTAATTAAATATCCAAAAAACAATTAAACCTAATTGAAACTATACTAAAATGTATCCTAATCTAAATATATCGAATTGAAACTACACTAAAATGTATCCTAATCTTAATATATGGAATATACGGAATGATATAATAAACGAGAAAGCCTAAAAGAGTAAACATGAATGTAAATAGCAAAAAAAATTAATTAAAAACAACGTAATAATATTAATAAACAAGAAAAAGTTCGCTTGATAACAAACGACACGGACGCGTCGCAACACGAAAAAGAACCGCCATAATATTTGACACGCTGTTGACAGTTGATGTACAGATCTCCTTGTTGACAGTTGAAGTACGGTCAAAATTAAATGGCCGATTAGCAGTATTTAATGGCTCCTATATTTTAGTGTCAAAGTGTCAAATGTTTGTTAAAAGTTTATAACAAATATCATGTGAAAGTGCGGTGTACAACAATGCGGAACACCAACAAATATGCAAAAATGCATGTATTTCCTGCAGAAAATGACGTAATATGTAAAATGATTAGTAAAATAACTGGAGCCCGGGCTGAGCACTGATGGTGAGAACTAGGGGAATAAGAAGTTTTATCAATATGCACTTCTGATATGATTTTTTATTGTAGCTTAATAACTGAGGCATTTAACAGTATCAATGCTAGGAATTTTAAGGTTATAAATACAAGACACCCGTCTTACTAAATCCCTTTCTGGAAGGTATGTTATTGAAAAATTATTCTTTTTATAACACTTTTTTGTATTATTCTAATATAACATTTTATTGTAGCTTTCTTGGACTCTACACTAGTAGAGACACAAGGAATGTTTGAATCGTCTCATAATGCATGCGTGAATGATATGGACAGGCAAAGTAAATAACTTTTATAATTAAATGAGCTTTCATCTGTTTGTATTATTCTAATATAACATTTTATTGTGGCTTTTTTGGACTTTACAGCAGTAGAGCAACAAGGAATGCTGAAGCCAAAAGAAAGGCAAAACTGAAGAAGGAAAACCGTTCCTGAAAGATTTGTTATTTAAAATTTTTTATACTACAATTTATGTTCGTAGCAAATGATTCTAGATTTATTTTTTTTTAGCAGAGGTTCTTAACTCAAGATATAAGCCGTGCAGAGACCAGTTATGAAAATAACAAAATTTATACAATATAACAAATGTGTTGAGAAAAGAAATCAGAAGGATAAATATACAAAAAAAACATTGAGGCAGAAGTTACAAGAAAGTCTCAAATGTGCTGAAAATTTTGCTTATCTCCCAGCAACATTAAATAAGAGTGCTCCTAATTTTATATTAAGTCAACTAAGAGAACATACGAAAAAGCCAAAAGGTTGAAAATTTACACTTAATGATAAAATTCTTGCTTTAACTCTGCATAAAATTTCTCCAAGAGGTTATTACTTGTGGAGAAAAATATTTGTTTTGCCTGCTCCTCAAACATTGAGAAAGTTGCTCTCAGCAATTCCTTTGTATAGTGGTATTAATGAGACCGTTTTCCAAACATTGGGTTCAGCTATGGCACAGAAAAAATATGTGAATAGCAAAAACTGTATTCTGATGTTTGATGAAATATCATTATCATCTGCATTATTTTAAGACTGTAAAAAGAATCATATTGTTGGTTTTCAAGAACTGGCAAATGGTAGGGAAAGTTTATTTGCTGATCATGCTCTTGTCTTTTTCAAAATTTTTCAAATCAAATAGTTGATACTTGAACTGTGCGCAATGTTCATATTTTTTGTGATTGTTTCATGAATGTGTTTTTTTTATAAATTTATAGTAATAAATAATGAAGTTGTTAAATGTTTTAGCAAATGTAGAAATTGTAAATAAGTGGCTACTTCATGGAGTATATTTTGCTATACAGCTTATTTCTATTTATTATTGGTGATAATACGTTTAACAGATATCGAGAAGTATATAGATCATGAATTGTACAATAATTTACCGGATAACAGCAAAATAGTTTTCAAATGACATACCCATACAGTAATTCATTTTAGTAAGCTGTTGATATGCTTTTCAGATGAAAGTAATTTTGGTTTTATCTTTTAATTAAATTGGCAAATGTGTTTGCATATAACTTTCTTGAACTTTTGCTAGTTACTGTTATGAGAACATAATGATTTTTTTTTCTTTGTGATAATGATGATAATGATATTTTGTTCAACATTTTAAAGCAGATTAACACAATGTGCAGAAAAGGTTTTCAGATAGAGACTATACATAGATTTAATGTAACTTAATCATTATTTGATTGAGCACCAAGATGAATATAAACAGAGTTATTTTACAAGAATATCTTAGGCATAAATTTTATTCCTTATTTTTGAATATGTTCCTCTTTTTTGATTGCAATACAAATTTATGACCTTTTTGAATTGTTGTTGCTGGGATTTTAAGTTACCTTTTGAGCGCATTAAGAGAGTTCTAGTAACTTCTATCTCTTGTTTGGTATTTATTATTCAGATCAATTCTCAATACTTTAGTTATATGGTATAGATAATGTCTAAATTATATTTAAATTTTCTAGAAATCTAGAAAAAGATATATATAATTTAGATAGTTTTTTGACATGAAAGCACACACACACACATAATAGGAGTCTGTGCCCTTGGGCAGGTCTGTGAGCTAGAACTCGATCTTAATCAGGGAAGAATAGTGTGTGATATGAAATTGTCATTTCATTTTGCAGTGCTGCAATTGGGCTATTTTTGAATACAAGAAAGCGAGGCTTGGACACACCACCCTGTCCACACAAGACATTGAACAACCATATGTACATATATATATATATATATATATATATATATATATATATATGTGTGTGTGTGTATATGTATATGTATATATATATATATATATATATATATACACTATGCTATTCGTACAAAGTTTATGAATCTTAGTTGCATCTATTGTAATCATATATAATGTTATATATATATATATATATATATATATATATATATATATATATATATATATAAATGGTGGATAATGTGTATGTGTATGTACATTTCTATGCTATTCATAAATTCACATAGTTTATGAAGCTTAGTAGCTTCTATTGTAATCATATATAGTGTTATATATATATATATATATATATATATGTATATATATATATATATATATGTATACATATATATATGTATATATATATATATATATATATATATATAATATAAATGGTGGATAATGTGTACGTGTTGTACATTTCTATGCTATTTGTACATAGTTTATAAAGCTCACTAATCGTCATACATTTATGTGCATTATATATATATATATATATATATATATATATATATATATATTACAGTACACATTATATATGTGTATATATACAAATATATAATATATACAATTTATGCAAATTGCATATCTTATAAATATGTATTGTAATAGTATACATTACAGTACACATTATATATGTGTATATATACAAATATATAATATATACATTTATGCAAATTGCATATCTTATAAATATGTATTGTAATAGTATAATGTAACATGTCATTGTTGAAATTATACGCTTTTTTATATTCAATATGTATTGTAATAGTATAATGTAACATGTCATTGTTAAAATTATACGCTTTTTTATATTCAATTTTGGTTTTTTAATTTAAAAAAAAATTTGAATTCAAACGGTCTATATAATATTGGTGCATTTCTTCAGCATTTTATATTCGCACCCATGGTCGACGCTGGCGCCATCTACATCGGGAGACGGAAACTAACCCGGGCAAATTGACAGTTTTGACCGAAAATAGTGGCAACGAGATATGGCCCGAGAGAGCGATCTATATACAGTAGGCCCTCGCCTATACTTGTTTATCTATGGCCCTCGCTTTACACGGCACTCTGGGTACACGGTTCCCATACTACACGGATCTAAAAATCCGACATCCCTCCGACTACACGGACTTCTTATTACGCGGTATTTGGTCAACAGCCCATAAGTTCGTTATGCAAAAGGGTATTGATGTAAATTTTGTTATCGACTTTTATCTTTTAGACATGCCTGATTTAGACATGCCGCCTAAGAACACGTTTGAGCTGACTACTGCGTCGCGCCAATTTTTGAATAAAGTGTCAATGTCCTACACGTCATTTTGTCCGTATTACTCCTACTTCAAGTTGTATTTCTTGGTCTCCATACAACGCGATAAAAATGGTGCGATTTGTACCAACTCTGAGTCTCTCATAACACGGTTCCCATACTGCACTATGTAAGGTTCCATAGAACGCACTACGAATTAGCCTGAATTGTAAGTTAAATACGAGTTTCTTATAGCACGGTTCCTATACTGCACGGTACGCACTTGCCGCGTAAAGCGAGGGTTTACTGTACTCCTAGACAATATACTAATATAGACGTTTCTCTCTCGCGGTATTTCTGTTCAGAGAGCTAGGGAAAGTCACGACCGCAATGTTGGGTGTGGCGCTTTAATCGCATGTCGCTCGGCAGCCTCGTGCTCCAAAATGCATTCAAATTAAAGCGCCAAAATTAGAAATAAAAGAAAATTGTCAATTTTAAAAATAATTCATTTGTATTTAAATTTTGCATTACAATAGTCTTATATTGACATTGTTATACAATAACAAAACATACCAAACAATAATACATATATTAAAATAGATATCAAAGTAAATAGCAATATGTTGCAACAAACATATTTATTTAAAAAAAGGAAAATAAGAAGTTTAACGAATTACAGGATTCCTGCCTTCAAGTGAATAATCATTCATTATTCACTACCAATAATGTTGTGAACACAAAACATGGTGTTTATTTTTTATTTATTTACATATATACATTATTTTCATATCTCAGTCAGACAGAGGTGCCTGGTATGAGAGATTATGAAAAACAGTTTTCATATAATATTTACATTTCATTTGACTATAATATCTATTTCATTAATATAATATCTATATATAACTCTTCAGTCTTCTTTTTCTTCAATTTCCATATAGTACTTCTTTATTTTTCTTTTAAAATTATCATTATCATTGGTCATCTTAATATAGTCTGGCAATTCGTTATATATTTTGGTAGCACTCCATATGACATTTTCTCTCAAATTCTTTTTTCTATTGCGTTCAATGTGAAAATTGTTGTGTTGTCTCGTGTAGTGTTCATGTATATCTTGATTTGTGTCTATTGTTGCACTTGTTTTAATTCGGTTAAATTTCATTTTGTGTATTAGTTTGCATTTCTCTATTTTAATTATGTTATTTAGTGAATGATTATTTGTTTCTCTCTGCAAGTATTTGGTGGGTGTTAGATGTGGTAAATTATATGCTATTTTTATGGCTTTATTCATTATTCTCTGTATGTCATTTAGGTTTGCTTTAGTTGTTTGGCTCCATGTTGTTATGCCATATAAAATTATAGGTATTATTTGCGTTTTAAGAATTAGTATTTTATTTTTTTTGCCGAAAGAGTGGATCCTTTTCAATGCCCCTGTTAATGTTCCTATCTTTCTTTTTATTTTGTTTATATGGTCTGTCCATGTCAGTTTTTCATTTATTATCAGTCCTAAGTATTTTATGCTTTCCACTTCCTCTATTGCTCTATTATTTATTTCAATTTTTAGTTTAGTGTTCTCAGTATTTTTTCTATGTTTGAAATATATGTATTTTGTTTTATCTATGTTAATTGTTAGTTTATTTTCAGTTAGCCACTCGGTGTATATTTTCATGTCCGTGTTTATAATATCTTCGAGTCTTTTTTTATCCTTATCCGCATATACTATCGCTGTATCGTCTGCATATAATATGTATCTTCCCTTTAATTTTGCGTCTTTAAGGTTATTGGTGTATAATAGATACAATAAAGGTCCTAATACAGAACCTTGTGGAACTCCACAGGTTATGTTACATCCTCCACTTGTGAAATTTCCCACCTTCGTCCTTACCACTCTTTTCATGAGGAAATCTTTGATAATGCTGTAAGACAAACCCTCTACACCTAAATCTATTAGTTTATTAAGTAATATGCCATGATCTACTGTATCGAAAGCTTTTTGTAAATCAATAAAAATTGCAACTGTGTGCATATTTTCCTCAAGGTGCTGACTGATGGTATTAGTCAAATCTATTAGGGCACCTTGTGTATTTGATGAAGGGAGGAAACCATATTGATTTTTGTCAATTTTTTGAATGAGAAAATCAAGTAATCTTTTTTTTATTACTTTTTCATATATCTTGGAGAAGTGTTTGTTATTGTTATAGGTCTGTAGTTATTTGGATCTGTTTTGTTTCCTGTTTTGAAAATTGGTTTTATTGTAGCCATTTTAAGACACGATGGAAATACACCACATTCTATGTATCTATTCATTAAAACAGCAAGTAGTGGAGCTATTATATTTATTATTTTTTTAGTGATTCTTGCTGTTATCTTGTCTTCGCCAGGTGCAGCGTTATTTTTCTGATTTTCAACAATTTTTTTTATTTCTTTCTCATCTGTTAATTCAAAAATTTGGATTTTGTTTTTAGGTCTGTGCATTACTTTATTAACTAATAATCATTCCAAGTAAGATTTGTCACTTTCCAGCACATTCTTTGCGATAAATCCAGTCATGCTAAATGGCTCTTGATATTATCTTGAATATTCAAAAAACTGCTGCATTAAATTAACTTATTTTATCATCTTGCACGGCAATTGGATTTCGTTCATTAACTCAGTGGCGTTCCTAAAAAATGTAAAGTCTAGTCTATTTATGCTTTTCCATATATATTTAAGAGCCTCCAAAGTTTAATACAATTCTGAAAAGTTAGAGGAGCCTTGCCTTTCTTATAAAAGAGCCCTAGCTTGCTCCCAAAATGTATTGTGATTAAATTTTTATTATATACACTGCTTTAACAACTGCTTTATATCCTCTTCATTTAAGAGTTATAGATTTTGTTTGGATCACAAATAAAACCGTATAAACAATTATAAAACACTTGTAAACACAACAATCACAATAAGAATCAAAACAAAATTTTGACATTTCTGGTATATATTGCTCGTGAATTACTAACCTGTCAAACTTGTCATCGGCTCACTAGCGCCAAATTTGCGCCTAGCGGTCGTGACTGGAACTACGCGTTGTGAACGCGGATTTTGTACTGAGATAATAGGGCCTGTATATACTCTTCTTTTATCTATGAGTCTATGTATATAAGGTCTATGCTATGCATCCATCTGTCATGTTGTCAGACTTTAGCTTTGCATTTTGTATGTCATTTATTGTATTAACAATTTCTTTCAGAATTTCTCTATGTTGAAAACAGCAAAATACCACGGGGCGCACCTCAGTGTGTATTTTCTTACCTGCATCTTATCAAAGTTTGCTCTAATTTCGAAGTTTCTCGCGGTCAGTTGATCAAAATCATCATAAAAAATATGTATCCCAGTGTTAAGTAAAACTAACAGAACTATTTTTAGTTAATATTTCAGAATTTAATATGATATTTTCATATATTTACTAATAGCACTTTTTAAGTAATTAGACTATATTAATTATTATAATCCTTTGTTAAATTGGTTAAAAATGATAAATATTTCAATGTTTTTGTGGCGGTATTTCTAATTTATAACATTTAATATGAAAGTTATCATAACAATTGGATTTTTTGTACATATAATTTTCTTATTTTCAATTTTTGATATTTATTTTAAATCTCCCGTGATTACCGGAATTCCACCTAGACCAGAACTAACTGATGCTCCAGCAAATCGTTTAGTATTATTTGTAGCTGATGGATTGAGAGCTGATTCTTTTTTTAGGCTAAATCATAACAAAAGTAGTGAAACACCTTACCTCAGGTATTATTACTTACTTTGTGCTAATATTCTATCAAATATTTTTGTCTATGTCTTATTTGTATGACTTGAATATTAATTTTCTGTATTTTTTATTTATGTTGTAAATCTAGTTTTTTCTATTATGTTATGACTTATATCTACTTTTGATAGCAGATAAAAAAATTAAAACTTTGCATGCACAAATTATCCAAATATATTAAATATACTATTTTTAGGTCAATTTTAGAAAAATATGGTACATGGGGAGTGTCCCATACCAGAGTCCCTACGGAATCAAGGCCTGGTCATGTGGCTTTAATTGCAGGGCTTTATGAAGATCCTTCAGCTGTTGCAAGAGGTTGGCAAGAGAATCCAGTACATTTTGATTCAGCATTTAATAGAAGTACAGAAACTTGGTCATGGGGTAGTCCTGATATTCTCCCGATGTTTTCGAAAGGATCCAAATCTGGAAAAGTTCATACATATTATTACAATTCAGAAGAGGAGGATTTTTCTGGAAAAAGTGATACCTTTTTACTTGATCTATGGGTTTTCAAAAAAGTTGAAAATTTTTTTAATGATGCCAGAAAAGATAAAGATTTATTTCTTCGACTGCATCAAAAAAAGATAATTTTTTTTCTTCATTTGTTAGGATTGGATACAGCCGGGCATACATATAAGCCTTATTCAAGGTTTGTTCTTTTTTATATAATCAGTTAGTTTAATTGAAGTATAAATTTATTATGCTATAATAAACTAATTATATCTTAGAGAATTGGAAAAAAACTTAAACATTGTTGATGCAGGCATTAAACAGATTGAAAAGGTCATACAAACATTTTATAACTATGATAACAAAACAGCATTCATATTTACATCAGATCATGGAATGACTGATTGGGGTAAAACAATTCTTTAAATTTTGATTAGATTGAAACATTTTACAACATAGTTTTTGCATGAGGAGAATAAAAATAAATAAGATTATTATATTTTTATTTTTGATAGATGAAAGAAAGAAAACTGATGATTGAATAACATATGTTTTAAAATTTTTAAGGATCCCATGGTTCAGGTAGTACACATGAAACAGAAACGCCAATTGTAAGTTGGGGTGCGGGCATTAACTTTCCAAAGGAATCTATAAATTTGAAGTCTACATTAAGCCCAATAAATTGGGGTGTAAACGATAAATTTAGGAAAGACATTATGCAAGCAGATGTATCACCATTGATTTCTGCATTGATTGGCTCAGCTGTATCGGTTAACTCTGTAGTAAGTTCATTTCAGTCAGGTATAAGAATCAGTTAACAATGATACTTTTTTTTTTTTCAATAATATCTTTGAAATTGACTTTAAGGGTATGTTACCATTACCTTATTTGAATGCATCACATGAGTACTTGGCCAAAGCTTATTTTCATAATGCACTTCAATTGGGAGATCAATATAAACATAAAAAGACTTTAGTGGAATCAAATCTTTGGAATATATTTAAGAGACCATTTAATGAACTGGATGATAATAGTATGAAAAATATTATTGCAAATGTTGAACATTCAATGCAATTAAAGAAATATGATGATGTTGTGAGTTAAAAATTATGCAAAAATAATATTAAAGTGTTCAATATGTTTATCTTGCCAATTTGAAATATGAATTGTTTTAATTTTATTTTCTCAATAGTTCTAATGTTAAATTTTTATGTTCCATTTTTACATTAGCTTATACACATATTGCTTATCATAAACATAATCTTTAATACTATTATAGTGTATAATGACCTTAAAATGTTCATTTTTAAATTTCCTTGCTCCCAGGGGTTCAAATGGTTCCAAATAGATAAAAAACAATTCTCTGAAAGTTTTAGCTCTTAATATTAACGTTTAGATAGAGCACAATTCAATCAAAGTTTTGTATGAAAATAGCGTGGAAAAATTTTAAAAATGTTTTTTAGATGTAATTTAGCGAACAAATGAATGAATAAAACTAATTCATTTGTTGCCAAATTATACCTAAATCATTTTTTTTTAATTTTCAAAATTTTTTTCATGCTATTTCCATACGAAGTTTGATTGAATTGCGCTCTATCTAAACGTTGATCTTAAGAGCTAAAACTTTCAGAGAATTGTTTTTTATCTATTTGGAACAATTTGAGCCCCTGGGAGCAAGGAAATTCGAAAATGACCATTTTAATGACCACCCTAATATATATATATATATATATATATATTTCAAAGTAAAACGTTTACTTTGAAATATGTTTCAACGTCGAAAAAACTATCAAGATATATATATATATATATATATATATATATATATATATATATATATATATATATGATTTAGTAGTTAATTTTGATGTTGAAATATGAGTGAGTTCTTGAGGGCAATACATCAAACAAAGAAAAGGCGAAGATTTATAAAATAATCTTTAATTCCAAACGTTTCGACATTCAATTTAATGTCATCATCAGTGGATCTAAAAACAGTATGAAAATTAGTATATCTAGGTAATTATAATATACGTGGATTGGTATAGTAACTATAAAATAAAAGAAAAATTAACAAACAGCAACACTTAACAACAAACAAAATATAAAAGATAGGAAAGGTAATAGAGACTAGAATTAAAAAAGAATATAGGCAAAAATATATAAGTACACTCATATAAACCTACGCATATATACATATATACACATATACATATATACATATATACATATATATATATATATATATATATATATATATATATATATACTTTGTAGAGTTTCGAACAAGAATCCAAAAATAATAAAAAATAAAAAAACAAGAAAAGTTTTTAATAAACAATTTCTTTATTTAATTATTTGTTTACTGTCGACGTTTCGGAACTAGGTACGTTCCATCTTCAGGACATCTGTCAAGAAACATGATCTTGATGAGATTTTAGCAAACAATATGTTTAGGAAAAGAAAATAGATTTTTCTTAAATAATAAATTAATTGCAAAAAAATATAATAATGTACAGAAATATGATAATATGATCAAAATGAAAATGATAAAAATAAATGAGTGGATTATCAGAACAGGATATTAAACATAATAGAAAATTTTTTGAAAGTTATGGAAATTTTTTAAGAAAAGGTTAATGACAAAGTTGAATTAATTACCTGTATGCTTGAATATATGTTAGCACTTTTTCACTAAACAAGCTTTAACAAAAAATGAATTTGTGAGTTAATTTTCCGCGAATAATTAGATTTGTAAATCAAATTACTAAAAGATTTGTCTTTTTTAAAAAATTATTATTTGAAAACACAAATAATATTGTTACCTCGATGTTGTGCGATTGGCTTTTGAAAATTAACTAAATTGAATCTGTGTTAATTTGTAACACGTGTAAGCACTTGAACAAGAGCTGTGAGATTGTATGTGTGTGTTTCTATATGTTAGGGTGTGAATACTTAAATTGTTGATCTTAAAAGGAAGTCGATATTAATTGTTGTCAAAAAGTGTAAAAAATTTAAATATGAATCATGTAATAGGTTGTGATCTGATCTAATGTTGACACTGTTAGAAACATTCATAAGAATAAGACAAATCTCCGCGAATAATCTCCTAAAGATGCAACTTTCATGATATAAAATCTTTGGAGTGAAATTAAATGAATGGGCGTTTTCAATAGAGTGTGTACTAGGGTACTTTTGAAATGTTTTGTTTGTGGTGGACCACACTTAGTTCATGTTTGTCTCATTCTTTTGTGTACATATTGCGAGGTTTGTCCAATATATTGAAAAGCACAGTCATTACAAGAAACA